CCTTCAAGCATGGAGATCATTGATACGGTGCTTAATAAAGGATTGGATAATTATATAAATAACCAGTTCAAAACGTTTTGTGTGTTACTATCAGGCAGCAGCGATGAGTAATGTAGTTGCAGATAATGACTTAATTAAGCAGACAGGCAAACAAATCCAGATCTTTAGGCAAGGGCAGAAGGTCAGGTAATCATCATACAGAAGGTCAAGTGATCATCATACAGACTTGGAGCGGAAAAAAATAAATAAAACAGAAAAAATGGAACAGGAGCAAAAACTAGAATACAATGCATGCACAGAATACAATGCACAGCATAGCTGTGTGATGTAAAATAAACACAGCTAAATAACAACTGAAATTCTTCCAGTCCAGCACGTACGTGTGTGTGAGGTAATTATGGTCAGGTGTCCATAATTAGACATTGTAGTGAGAATGTGTGCTGGGAATCGTAGTCCAGGTCGGACATGCTAGAATGCAGTGATGGATTCTGGGAAACGTAGTGTAACGTCATTTCTGGCGTTTTCGTGACAATTACGTAGATCCAGCAATTTTTTCCCTTTCGTTCAAAGCATAAGAACACATTGCGTTTCTGCAATACTACAGCTCTTTCCTTTGGGTCAGTTTAGCAGATCACATCTACCACAAAAACGAATAATAAAAAACAAACACTGGGTGTGGTTTACTTCCAGATGTCGAGTAGATTCATAGTCTCATTGCTTTCTCACTGTTAGCACACCACGTCAGAATTCACTTGTTTGGGCTACTTCATTATATAATTGGCTGTTTCTTTTATGTTACATCATGTTATGTTTGACAGCGAAGGAAAAAACAAAACAAAACACAATTTCATTCTTCAGTAGACATTTTTAATGGTCGAGAGAATCTATTGAAAAGTTCCGCCTCAGACAGTCATAGGGAAGAAAAATCTGGCAGCATTCAGGAGGGAAGTACACACAAACAGTGCACAAACGGTGCGTAACCTGGGGCGGCTGTGGATCAGGTGGTAGAGCGGGTTGTCCACTAATTGCAGGTTGGTGGTTTGATTCCTGGCCCACGTGACACCACATACCAAAGTTTCCTTGGGCAAGACACTGAACCCCAAATTGTTCTCGATGACAAGTTAGCGCCTTGCATGGCAGCTCTGCTACCATTGGTGTGTGTGTGTGTGTGTGAGTGGGTGAACGAGTCAGTGTAAAGCATTTTGGATAAAAGTGCAATATAAGTGCAGACCATTTACCCTGAAAGGAGAGCCCAGAAAATCAACTAAAGAATGTGTGTAAGCTGACTCTGAATATGTGTAACTTTCCCAGCGTGAATATATTGACATAACTTTTGGAGTGAAGTCACTGACTCTGAATACACAAGATTGGAAAAGAAAGTTTCACTTGTTTACCAACACCACTGCATGACCCATGACCTTACCTGAAGTCCTGATGTGAAGATTCACTCCCAAATTCATTTCTGACAAAAAAAAATCACGTAGTGGACATCCAGAACCTGAATATCCTAAAATAAAACTAAAACCCTAGCTGAACCTAACTGAAACCCAGTCAGGGACAGGCTCAGTATCCCATTCCTCTTTTTCTTTGTGCTTCATCATGGCTGTTGCCTGTATCGTTTCTCCAATCTCGTCTTACTATCGCGATCACCATCTTTAATTAGAATGCTACACAGCATTTGCAAATTGATTTGTTTTTGTCTAAGATAAAATACAATATTTTTTTCTTTATTTATTATTTTGTGTGCTCGCTTACCGTCTTCATAGAAAGTGGGGGGTGCCAATATTTTAATCATAGCGTGATAATCGAATGGCATATGCAAAATGTCAGACATTTAAACCCTCACTCCTTTGTGTTTAAATGCACGTCTGCCAACACGTAGTGGGTGCACATACTTTCTCACAGTAACAAATCAATATCGTTCCTCTTTTTAGTGCTTCACAAGTAAATGTGTGGAATAACAGAAGAAAACAGCACAAAGTCTTTCCCTGTGAGTGTGTTTATATGTGTGTGTGTGTGTGTGTGTGTGTGTGTGTGTGTGTGTGTGTGTGTGTGTGTGTGTGTGTGTGTGTGTGTGTGTGTGTGTGTGTGTGTGTGTGTGTGTGTGTGTCATGCAGAGTCTTAGCCTTCATCAAAGGTCACTCATGGGGGAAAAAAAGTGCAGAGCATTCTCCCAGCATGCCCTGTTCACAGCAGTGAGTCAAATCATGCGACTCTTCAGACCACAAAACAAATAACATATTCAAGGTGTTTTTCCTGCGAATGAAACATTGGTGCATTAAATTGTTTGCTTTTTAAGGTTAATAATCATATACGAGGTTAATGCTTAATGATGGACAGCGCCGGTCCTCACTTCTGGTGCTTTGGTTCTAATCATTTTCTAAAGGTTTTTATTTACTTTTGGATCTTGCTAAGGCTTTCTGTAACGATCATGACGGTAAAGGATCCAGTTTAACAAATGTAATGGTAAAACCGTACATGCGTCGCTTGTGGAGGTCCTCAGAAATTACACTTCGGATGAGTGTGTGAACAGTGCCGCTTCTGCAGTTATGAGTAGGAGCTAACATTGAAGACTATAGTAACTCAAATAACCAGCCTTAAAGGCTGTTTACTGCAGAAGGCCACACCGGGTTCAACTCCAGGAAGACAAGAAGTGGAATCTGAAGCTACAGCAGGAAGAAGATCCATTTTCTTTTCCTTCAGAGTCACGGGGAACCTGGAGCCTATCTCATCAGGCACAAGGTGGGGTACACCCTGGACAGTCCACCCTGGCAAATCCATCACCAGGCACAATCACATACACATTCACACACCCATTCTTACACTACGGACACTTAGCCAATCAGCCTGTCATGCATGTCTTTGGACTGGGGAAACTGGAGTACTCGGAGGAAACCCCTTCAGCACAGGGAGAACATACAAACACTGTGCACACAGGGCAGCAGCGGGAATCAAACCCCCACCTGGAGGTGTGAGGTGCGATTCGAACCCCCACCTGGAGGTGTGAGGTGCGATTCGAACCCCCACCTGGAGGTGTGAGGAGCGAATCAAACCCCCAAACTGGAGGTGTGGGTCGAACGTGCTAACCATTTATCCAATTGCAGGAAAGAGCAAGTGTACAGATTTTCCTATTAGTGCGTGTATATTCTCCTTATTGGTTATAATTAAAACAATCCAAACATTGACTCTGAAGCCTGTTACATGATCAGTGTTCACTTCATATTAAGGGGAGCGAGAATAAAACAGAAAGCAAAAGAAAGTCAAACAAACAGACTATGCAGATAATAAGAGCGGTTCTTCTCGCTCCTCGCATCATTACACATTTAGCTGTGCTTTGTTGAAAAGTAGGCCAGAGAAGTGCTGGAATCCCGGCGTGAAAGCTCAGGGGTGTCGAGTGTTTCCACCGGGGGAGGAGAACGACACCAACACGTTTACGCCTTCAAAACGTTGTGAGGAAATCTCCATACTTCAGAAGACGCAGCTCAAAAGGAAAGTCAGCACAAATGCCCCTGGGTATGCACAGAGATGGTCTTAAAAGCCAAGACTTGCTGTGACACACACACATACACACACACACACACACAAACAACAACATTGTTTACCTTTTTCTCCATATGAGCATTTATTTTTTATATAAGCTGCCTAATGCATTTCAAACAGGAAGTTTCATTCCAAACCCAAAAATAATAGATATATCAGGTTGTATTTTCTACATAGGAGGGGAAAAAAGGAGTTTATTAATTTACAGTGTCTTCCAGAAATATTGGCACCCTTCACCCTTATTGGCACACTAAATTAATATGTAATACATAGAATAGCAGATTCAACGAGTGATACACAATATCAAATATCATTTAACCATAACCCAATGGGGCAGTGGTGGCTCAGTGGTGAAAGGCTCTGAGTTACTGATCAAAAGGTCAAGAGTTCAAGTGCCAGCACTGCCAAAACACCACTGTGGGCCCCCGTGCAAGGCCCCCAACCCTCAATCACCTAGCTGCATAAACAAGATAAACATAGGTAACTCTGGATAGGGGTGCCTGCCAAATGCCATAAATGTAATGTATAGTTTTTATTTAAATATGTCCCCCCGATCTATCTAAAGTAAACTCCAAACCTCCGTGCAAAGGGACCCAGGTTCTCAGCTACAACATCCATTACACATCACTTGACATGTGCAGGTCAAGTGCTATTTGTCTTGTTTGTGTTTTGGCTTTTCTCTTCGAATTGTATGACAAGGGGATTTCACACAAGTGTGCAACCTCTTATATATTCCCCAGGGAAACAGGACGTGGTAAAAGCAACAGCAGCGTCCCTGGGAATGAAGAACACATGAAAATATGAATGAAGAACATATGAAAATATGTATGTTTCTTGGAGATACCAATACAATAGCTTTGGCACAGATTTTAGAGAGAAAATTGTATTGTTGATACGTTTTAATGAGTATGAGGAGTTGCTTGTGAGGACCTGGCTGTACAACTTGATTGCACTGTATTCAGCGACTATTAAAGTGGGAATTCACATCAAGTACTGGGGAATCTCCTGAAAATACATACAGTATACTGCAATGAAACATCTTCATGTCATAAATCCCTCTAGACTGGCTTACTGTAATAATAAGATGAAAATGATTTAACTGCTGCTTTGTTCTCCATGCTTGTTTTGCTCAAGTGCCACACTTGTAGCAACACTTTTATGGGTATTTAGTGTGATATTGCTTTTATAAAGCAATTCTATAAACAAGACATTAGTATCAAATCAGTGACATTTTGGACACAATATGGCCAAATGTTCAGTTTATTTTTGCTCCGCTAGTGGAAATAGATCCTGAAGAAGCCACACTCACTTTACGGCACGTCGGCTAGCTGGCTAGTTAGCACACGATGATTTGTACATTCCGGCTAAAGGTACTTCTGGTGAAATTCGCTCCCCTTTTTCTGTTGCATCTCCATCTGCTGAAGTTTCATATTTTATTTCATAATCATAAGTTAAAACTGGGGCACATGGTGGCTTAGTGGTTAGCACATTTGCCTCACACCTCCAGGGTCGGGGGTTCGATTCCCCGTGTGTGTACTCCGGTTTCCTCCCCCAGTCCAAAGACATGCATGGTAGGCTTGTTGGTGTTTCTATAGTATGCGAGTGTGCCCTGTGATGGATTGGCACACTGTCCAGGGTGTACCCCGCCTTGTGCCCGATGTTTTCTGGGATAGGATCCAGGTTCCCCATGACCCTGAAAAGGAGTAAGCAGTAGAAGATGGATGGAAGTTAAAACCGATATTTTTGCACTTGGGTCTCCTTTGAACAATGGACTAATTCAACAAACAGACTTCATGTTAAACCATAATGAACTTTCTTTTACTTTCACACTATCCGTTGTTACCCAGATGAGGACGGGTTCCCTTCTGAGTCTGGTTCCTCTCAAAGTTTCCTCCGCCTATCATCTCAGGGAGTTTTTCCTCACCACCGTCTCCACCGGCTCACTCAAATGGGATAAATTTACACACTTAAAATCTCTATCCTGTGTTTACATGTTTCTGTAAAGCTGTTTTTGAGACAACATCCATTGTTAAAAGCGCTATACATATAAAACAGAATTGAATTGAAATATTCACTAGAACTGTATTGTTTCCAATGTCTGCTGATGATGTCTCTAACACTACTGTAGTAACTGTTTTTAACTAGGCAGAGGAATTTTATCTGGTGAACACAGAAGAGCAGAGTGATACACAGTCTGTTTTTCTGTGTGAGCCATCGCAGTCTCCAGACCCGATCCTCACACTGATTCGGAGCAGACGTTTCGGGGAAAATGGACGAAGATTATAACTGACCCTGCGTTCAGACTGCGGCAATTTTTTCACCTCTCATCACCAAAATTGCCGTTGGTCACTAGGGTGCGTTCTGCTGGTTGCCATGGTTTCCATGATTTTTAGCAGGTATATTTATTTATAAGAAATGGTTTTGAAATGGTTTATTTTTGTTTCCTCATTTTAGTTCCATTAATGTTTTTGATTAGCATATAGTATTAATTATATTTAATCGCGTGTCATACAACCACACAGTTAATTAGGTGCTTATTTGAATATATTTACTTAATATGACTTAAATGAGCTGAACTTCAGTTTAAAATGTCATTCAATATCAACTTGTACAGGTTTATGGATGAAACTGGGTCTTCATACTGTCATTTAATATCATGAGCTTGTTTTACAACGCAGTACATGATGTTATATACAGTATACCAATTCCAAAAAAGTCGGGACGCTGGATGAAATGAAAATAAAAACAGAATGCAATGATTTGCAAATCTCATAAACCCGTATGTTATTCCGAATAGAACATAGAAAACATATCACATGTTTAAACTGAGGAAATGGGCCGTTTTAAGGAAAAATAACTTGTCTCAAAAAAGTTGGGACGCGGGCAACAAAAGGCTGGGAAAGTAAGTTTAATTGGGATTAATTTAGTTTAGTAAGGTTAATTGGGAACAGGTCAGTAACATGATTGGGGATAAAAAGAGGATCTTAGAGAGGCGGAGTCTTTCAGAAGTAACAGTGGGGATGGAATCATTGGAATCTGGAAGATTGCTTTGCTTTTCCTTTTCCTGAAGTTTAAATCTATTGCATCACTCTGCCCCGCCCACCTCTCGCTGCTTCCTGTTACAAAAGAGGTGTTACAAGATGTTATGTGAGGAAATAAACACTCAAGGGTGTGCTGTTGTATGTAAATAATCAATGATGGGTTAGTGTGACTTGTGTGTGATGTGTAATGTTCAGGAGAAACTAACACAGCTTGTCATGTTACTACGACTTCAGTGTAACCGCCCACTGCTATGATTGGATAACATCTTTGCCTACGAATTAATTATCAACGACCCCTGCCTGAACTGTTTTCAGCGACTGAGCGCTGGTGGGCAGGGCCAATGATGCGATGATGTAAAAGTAGGTGTCAATATCTTGCTGTAGAGGCCGTCATATGCATATGAGTCGTTTTTGGAGCTCGGTTAAATAAATGCTCTTTTTGACCCCTTTAAAGATACAGTTACTGGAGACTCCTTCCACAACAACAATTCCATACATACGATTTTTTTCATCTCTTTATTAACCACACAAGTCCCGGTAAACGAGCTGTTACTATGGAAATCATAAAGTATTAATACGAGCGCAGTAATATAATATTCCAGAGCTGCTGTTATAGAGAATGAATCAACACCTTCTCAGTGGTGAATGTTAAAAATATAAAACAGATTCAGATCAAATTGATAACAATTTTACCTTAGCAGAATGTTTTCGGATGTTCCAGTGCTGGGACTTTTTTGCTTAAAGAACGTTCAGGTGTTCTGGATGTTCTGAGAGCAGTTTTACTATATAATGTTTAGAGATGTTCCTACAACGTTTTTGCGACATTCTTAAAACTGAAATGTAGTTGTTTTATTTTTACCAGGAACACACAAACATTCCAGGAATTACTGCAGGAAATATTCCAGCCTAACCTTTACAGAACCGGTTAAGTACTTAATAGTGTAAACGTTGTAATAATGTGCTTTGTTAGCTCAGAAGAGGCTGTTTAGCGGTTTTTGTTGCTCGCTTGTGGTAATGGAGGACGATCTGTATATCTTATCTTAAACTGAACTCACAATCAGTGTTTTTATTTCCCAGTTTGGACATAAAAAGGAAAGAAATTTTGAGTGTGTTTACTTGTATGTGGGTCAGTTTTAAGTATTTGAATCTAGCTTTGTGTGTGTGTGTGTGTGTGTGTGTGCACCATGAACAGAGAGCAGTATTTAGATAGTCATACAGTTTACAGTGAGTGTGTGTGTGTGTGTGTGTGTGTGTGCGCGCATGTGAATGTAATGTGTTTGGCAGTCCATGTATCAAACCACGACAGCTGCTGCGTGACAGAACAATCAGTAAAAAAGTGAGGCAACATGAGATGAAAAATGGAAAGGAAGTGTCTGTGTGTGTGTGTGTGAGTGTGTGTGTGTGTGTGTACGAGCAGAGGAAATCGAGTCTGTGTATGGCCCTTTCATGCATCAAAACTAGCCGTAATTTGGAATGATTATTTCTATCATTTGTTACTGGTTTATGACATGTATGGTTGTGTGTGTGTGTGTGTAAGTGATTGATTACTCCACTAGCAGTGCATCATTGCATACTAAATGCTGCACAACTTTAGTTATCGACACATCCTGCTTTTCAAATGAAGTTCGTTCATTGCAGGAAACAACGCCGTGTTTGGATTGAGGCAAACTTCTGAAAGTTTATTTATTTATTTATTTATTTATAATTGTACGAATGTGAAACATTGCGTTCAAACAACTGACCCATGCTTTACATACTCATTTTCATCAATCAGCTCCTCTAATGACATCACAGATAACTCATTAAGGTAGTTACAGAATGGTTTTGAATGCTGATTGGTTGCCAAATATTTCATTTTAACCATATCCATTGTTTATACATTAGAGATACAACTTCTGACATGTTTATGCAGCCTTGTGTTCAAGTCAATGGTATAGACAACTTGAATCAAACAATTTTAGCTTGATTTTAATTCAGGGGTCATGACCCCAAGTGGGATATTTGATTTTCAAATGGGATCATGAGACAAATCACAGTCTCCCATTTATTTTGATGCATTTAGAAATTAATAACATGAATATACAGATATTAAGACTCCACTTGCTAGAAGGCAAAAAAGAAATAAAAAAAAAATGCTAGATTTCTCTGTCCATTTAGTTTCACTCTTTCCTCAACAACTGCAAGTGACTCTGACTCAGTGGAAAACTAGGTCTAAATTATACACTGCCAGTCTTATTGCCATATAAATAAACTATCTATCTAGTTATTAAACCTATTTCTAGACATTTTGTTATCTGCAAACTTACCCACTACAGACATACACACACTTTTAGTAAACTTCTGGAACTTTTCTTATAGCTTTGCAAAAGGTACTAATAGAACCATTGTAGGGGTCCAAGAACTCTTAATTATCCAATAAACCCTTAAAGTACAGATATACTGTTTCCAGTAAACCATTAAAGTACCAGTGTACTGTATCCAGAAACCCATTAAAGTACCAGTGTACTGTATACAGTAAACCAGTAAAGTACCAACGTACTGTGTCCAGTAAACCATTAAAGTACCAAAGTACCAAATGTCTAACAGATTATTGGTTTTAAGAAAAAAATACTGACCAATAATTTGGAGTTTATACCAAACATCTCACCAGTTAATACTGTAGCGGGATCAGCCCAGGGGGGCAAAGGCGTAGCACAAACACACGGGAGGCAGGTTGTAGTGCGAGAAGTGAGGGAAAACCCAGGATTTTATTTGTCCTTCAATCCGTAGTGGTGTGTGTGTGTGTGTGTGTGTGTTTGGGTGCGTGTGTGCATGTGGAGGGGGATGAGGGAAACCCGGCAGGGGCGGGGCTGGCGGAGCGGCGTCCTCCGGGGCGTGTCGGGATTCCCGGAAGAGCTGGGAAGGAGCGGTTCCCTGTGCCGGTTTCTCGGCCTCACCACTGTCCTCGTCTGTCGTCGCCGTCCTCGTCCGGGGCGGAGCCCTCTGTGAGCGGAGAGAGGGAGAGAGAGAGAGCGAGAGAGAGAGAAGAGAGATCGCGACCGGTTAGGTAAGCCCGTGTTTGCGCAAAATTCAGTGGCAAATACACCCGGACATTAGCTGCCCAACGTAGCCGAACGTTGATCCTCCTCCTTCGGTGGGTGGAAGGGTGTCCTTTTATCCCCCTCCTTCTGGAGCTGGATTGGTGAACCTCCTGCTCCCGGTTCGCCAATCAGCCGCCCGGCCGTGAGTTGGCTCCACCCTGCAGTGGCGCCCCTTTCCGGTTGGCATTGGGACGGCAGTCGGGGAAGGAGCGAACCTCCTAGTTTCGCGCGGCGGGGTGTTGGGCGCCGCGACAGTACCCCCCTCAGCTCCGAGCCTACTGCCGCTGGGAGGTGGGCCCAGAGCGGCGTGTCTCGTCGTGAGGGCCCATCTGCATTCCCATGCAGGGCCCCCGCCCGGTACTGGACCTGGAAGGAGAAATCCTGCAGGGCGAGAAACCACCGAGTAACCGGGCGT